ATAAAAGTAGATATCACCGAAGTCGGCCTCTATAGAACTCGGCTTTTTCTATTACTACATTATCCGAGTTCACACATTGTACCGATTCTACCCGTCTTTTTTCACTTGGTTCTTCGTCTCATATCTCATATATTTATCATACCACGAATGTTTTCCTCTTTTGTGTGTTGGCTCGGCTACCAGTTGAGGATTATATTTTCTTCATAAACGGTGCTGAATTGTGACCGAGTAGATTTCTCTCTGGATTTCCAGGATAGCTCTGTCAGGGTGCTCCCTAGTCATTACAACAAGATCTCGCTACACTGAATGCTCTCCGCAGACCACAGTGTATCTTTCGATATCCAAGGATGCCTAGTGAATTCTTATGTTCGTTCTTCGAACTCGTTTTGAAACCATGCTTTATGCCGGTGTTTGAAGAGATGGAAAGAAGCACACGCCGCACAGATCCTGCTCTCTACTGGGCATTTCAACAGCCATCTTTTATCTGTAGTTCGAAAAAACAAGGAATGCAGCAGATGTCAATAATCGGGACATCACTCTGTCTTAATGAGCGATCAAGAGTTGGGACTCACTGTGACGACGAAATGCGGCTGTTTATGTCATCAAAAGATTTTATTGAGTGAACATTAAGCTGTCAGTGTTTTGAGGCTCAAAAGACTTTCATACCACAAAATTTCTAAGTGAGAAATACGTAGATAAAATTCCATTGGGGGGTGAGTGGCTCGTTTTTTATTACCATCTTTATAGTTAGCGGATTTATAGTAAACGGAATACACAGCTATACTCTATACTGTAGGTTATATTCGAATGGCTCGTCATCACAAAAAATGGTGTCGGCCTATCATATCATTCGTCGAAATGCTCTGTAACTCGTTCGGGAATTGTTTTCTCCTGGAATTCTGGAAAATCCTTGATTGAAACGTTCCAGGTTGTCATCACAAGCAACCGTCAGCCATTGTTGAACGTATGGAAGTATTTAACGAAAAGACGGTGATTCAACGCATTCATTGATTCCTTTCTGGACTTCCGAATGAAAGCATGTAACTCCTTATAGGCTCAAGTGAGCCTGCTGGTGGTGTGGCACCTCGCTGAGGTGTTGTAGTTCGACACCAAGGAACAGCCAAGAATGGAATGAACGTGAAATTTTTAAGAGATGCCACGGGCATTGACAAGACCTTGAATTAGTATGTCAACAGTTGAACTTTCTGCTTCATAATGTTGAATGACCTTATCGAACGTGATAGAAACGCCTTTTTTATCCATTTCAAAGTTTGTAGTCTGATAGCTTTTTTGTTTCTCCGTTGGTAAGCTTAGCACTGGCATGAAGTGTGGTCTGTTCGTGAACGATTTACTTAAAGAACTATTAGAATCTACTTCGCGGCCAACATTTTGGGCTCATGCAATATCTGATCTTACATGGTTCCCATAAGAGTTTGTCGTCCACTGATCAGTGAGAGATAAGAAGTAAGAAGGAATCCGGAGAAGCTACAATCCTGACTTTCTGAAGAGGTCCACAACTCCACAAACTAACCATAAATACGGTTCATACTCCCTCCCGGCTAAAGTGGTGCTACTGTTTTATTGAAAGTATCCTTCCTTTTCAGGATTATATTTCTCCCATAGTTCATCGAGTCAGATCAGGTCGGTATCCACTTTAAGGAGCAATGGATCATTTTTCCAATAAAAGTTAATGAGTTCAACGATTATCACTGGTTTCTATCGTACTCCGGAAATTAATATCCCATTCCAACCGGCACTTTTAAAGCGGTTTATCTCTTTGAAGCCTGAATTTCAGCAATGAGCTAAAAACCCTTGAAATCCACACATTTTTCCGACGAAAAACAAGTTCATTTATACCACCTGCCTAAAGTCTCGGGCTTCTGGAGGTTATGATGCGGTTGAAGGCAGTTCCATTTTCGGCTTAGTTTACCGAAGCATAGCATATTCGCATAGGAAGTTGCCGAGATGCTCGAAAAAGTGGTATCCGCTAAGCGAAAGGTCTGGTGAATATGGCGGACTGGAGTTTCCTAGCCTAGTTCGTGCAACCTTTCCAGCGTTCATAGTGCTACATGTGGCCATGCGTTATCCTAGCGGAGGAACGATCCTTTACTGTTGACTAGTGTCGGATGCACCAGTCGAATGGTGCATTTCGTCGGTTTACTACACATACATCTCAGCCATAATAGTTTCACATGAGATCAGGAAACTGTGATGGACCAAACCGATGCTGGAGCGATCAAACGTTCAGCAGGACCTTCTTTTATTGTAATTTAGCTTTGCAAAGTGCTGTGGTTCTTAGTCTCCGTCCAATCGTTGAGTCGATCGTCTTCGATTACGGCAAAGGATCCATTTCTCGTCGCGCATTATAAGACGGCATAGAAGCTGATCGTTCTGGCTGTAAGCATCCATTCGCCGAGCTTCTTCCACTTTCCAGATATCCTAACCTATTCCGAAACATCTGAACATATGAGATCCTTGCACTAAGTTCTTCTGCAAGTTCTTCAAGAACTGCTTGTGTATTTACTTCCACCAAACCATTCAAGGTGAAGTCAGTACCAGAAGAAAGCCCGATACGTCCTTTATCTTCAAGGTCGAATTCGCCACGACGACATCTTTCAGACCGACGTTGCACCTCCGTTCCTTAACCATTCCTTGGCTCTATATCCCTACTATGCTTTCAGCCGTTTGCTCTTCGTTCGTCTGAGTTCAGATGTAGAAGTTGACTTGTAGAAATTGCTGTTTTAACATTTGAAATTCTAAACTTTAAGATTTGTCAATACACAATTTATATTATAATTCATTTATACGTAGTGAAAGTGCGAAGAACGAGTTTCTCAGTTGTTTATAATAGCAAAGAACTTGAAAAAAGAACAAAAGCTACTGCTAGAAGATATCCAGGGAAAAGAAAATAACAACTCGGACATTAATTTCCAAGCAACATAACACTCAGCAGCGTGTGCTGTCGTAGCGCCTGTCGTCCCTATCCTAGTCGTGCATAGCATGGGCTGAAGATCTTCGAACGGTATGAAGCAGTTGCCTGACATTTTTGGAAGTAGGAAAGCCTTAGGAATTTCAGGATTGTATCTCGCTGATGGGCGCGTGCGGCGTAGTGGTGGGGGCGCCGTTCAATACACATGGGATCGATTCCCGCGCCACGGCCCCCTCCCCCCCCCCCCCCCCCNCCCCCCCCCCCCCCCCCCCCCCCCCCCCCCCCCCCCCCCAAGCCTTCCATCCCTCCGGAGTTAGCAAATTGGTACCAGGTTTGTCTTGGAAGATTGCAGCACTGGCTCGATACATCGATGGGCCGCTGCGAGTTATTGTAAAAGCCAGATATGCATTCAATCACCTCCAAATGATGTTTAATGAAGTCGAATGCGTGGCGCATCCCGAAGGGATTGATCAACGCCGGGAGCTTTGTCCTTTATCCTTATTTTATCTCGCTAATGTATTAGCAGATTAGTTGGGAATTACGCTAAGGATGTTAGAGGTTTGCTGTCGACCACATTTCGTTAAAAAAAGGACAAAAAGTTTGGTACTCATCTGTCTATGATGGATGCTCTATGCAGTTCATTCCATTCATACCATCGTAGAGGTGAATGAACGTATATATGGTGCATAACATTAGTCGTGGCGACCAACCGATGTATGAGATCGGTACTGCTATCTTCCCAGACAAGTCTAGTACCAATTTGCCACCCCGTAGGGATGAAAATATCGACGCAGGTAGAAACCTCGCATAGCACCTCTAACCACTGCGCTACCTGCTCCCTGGCGGCTTGTTTCCTCCAGCTTCCATGATTTATGAGAAGGAAGTTATTCATTTAGGAGTTAGTAGTTTACCATTGTTTCTCTGGTGGTCTATATGAGGTCACCATTCTAACAAATTGTGATACGTCTAGCTATCGTTTTCCTTCATCACAAAAATAATTGAATACTGTGAATGAGTGTCTTTTCTTTTTAGCCTGTCACTATAGCACTTCTGGAGGTTTTGCAACGACAGGAACACTATCCAGAATTGTCCAAAAATCTCCCGGTCAGACGGCGAGCTTTTCCAGAGCGCGCTCTAGGCCAACGCACCGAGCGGCTCGCAGTGGCGCACAGCATCCATCCGTTCGGAGTTTTCCGCTTCCCGATGAGGTTGGTGGGTTTGTTCTACTCATGGGATGCGTCACAGTTCTAGTAGTCTTCTGTGTTCAGTTGAATTTCATCAATTGTGAGCATCACCGATATGACTATAGAATGAGGTATGTCTAGGAAGGAACGAAAATCTGAATTTATCAATTCATTTGCTTTTGTACTACGAGAGTATCTCTTTAAGAATTGATTAACTGCTAGGATGATTTGGTAGTTGTGAATTTACAAAGGAAAGCTCCAAATACAAAACCTTAGTTCAGATAAAAACAGATAGATTAAATCCCATCACACGTAAAATCAGCCCATTTCACTTCACTTCGTCACTTCAGCGTGCTTTGTTGACAATGAATGCTCCTAAGTGTCTTGTTGTGATACAAGTTCATCTCCCAGCAGGGTTAGCCATGTGGATGAGATGTCTATCCAAGCGTGAGCCAGAAGACGGCCAGAGTCGTCGCTGTCCTTATGGAAACCCAATCACAAGCCTGTAAACCATCCCCGGATCTAGACCAACTGTTCCACATTGCATTCCAATTCTCTCGACCGACTTTATACCTTAGTGGTGTGGTGCACGACTGAGGGAGGATTATACAGGTGGAGTTTTCCCATTCACTTTCTTTTTTCTTCGTGCCGGCCATGGGCGTCATGGAAGTTCTGTAAGCTGTTCTCGTCGGCGAGATCTCATGCGGTTTGTGAGCATAGTGGACAGGTCCCGGATGTAAGTGATTGATAGTTGGCTCGGTGATATCACGTGGGATAGCTCTCCGTATCTACCACTTTCTCCGTCGACATTGCAACATTTGTCGCTCATAAACACGTATGCACACGTGGTCGTTCATCGATTCAAACCGAACAATCCGTTTTTGACTATGAGCACTGCTCCCAGTATTGCCAGTGGTCTTGGCTCGTATGTTCACCATGTGAGACATTCGAAGAGAGGTCTGCAAGTAATGGCTTTTTGTCTGATTACAACGTTAAGCCAAACTTTGTTACATTTTCAGCTTCCAAAAGGATGATGGCCAATCCCTATGCTTGTGATGTGCACCTGGACGAGCTGGGCCCCGATCATACGATCATCGATTTCGCCTTTATTTCTGAAGAAAACTTCCTTCTGGTGGTTCTTCTGGCATCAAGCGGTGAGGTGTGCCTCTGGTTCATTATCTTTGTGCTTTGGGGTTACGGAAATTCGCCCTTTTGATTCAAAAATTTTGTTATCTTTAGGCATGTAGTTGACTTTCGTTCTGTAGAGCCATGTCATTTCTGTCATGTTCAGTTTTCTCTAGTACGGTTCAGCTTCTCAACATTACTTCTAGGAGATGTCCAAACCTACTGTGAAGTGGCAAGTGACAAAGCCCGGAAAAGTTTAACTCGTAGACATTCACTCTGTTGTCAGTACGTCGAGCCAGTCACTGTTTGTTTGGGACCTGAAGCCACTTTCGCTGCTTTTGGTCTTTCAGATGGAGATATTCTACTAACTCCCATTAAAACTTTGATGGTAAGTTTTTCTTTGACAGATGAAAGTTTTCTTGTTGTTCCAGTCATTGAACAGCAATGCTGTCTCGGTTTTCTAGAGCATTTATAGTTCATTGAGCTTCAAGGCCTCTTGATATGAGATCATTAAGCTTGAAGGGCTCTTGCTCTTGATATGAGATTCTATCTCTTTTCTTAATCCATGAAAAGCTTTTTCAATCTATATATCTTTGACGCTGGGGTTGTCTAACTAAACAAATACGTAATGATGTTGACACATTTGGAAAACTCTTGACTATTGGTGTCTGCGGTAGGGACCGAACACGCTATTAACCTTCCCGGGGACTAACGCGTTCACCACCACACCCTGCGAGTCCTTCGTCTCGCCTTTCTCTCAGCCGTATTATTGAAATATTGGTGCTATCAGCATTCACCCATCAACAGGATTGATTTGGAGGACACGAATTCCCATTGAATCCAGTTAAATAAGTACACTTTTTGCGTCTAGGTTTTTAATATATCTGAAATCAGCAAATTGCTTCCCACAAGACTGTTTTTTAGGATGTACCCTGGGGAGCGTCACGTTGGTTGCCGGAGAACAGATCCGTGGTCATTTCTATTCCAAGTTCAGGAGTGAACGATTGCCTTCTGACTCCAACATGCATGCGGTGCTTTGTCACCAAAAATCCGCCTCGACCGTTGCTTGTTTTTTCCAACAAGGTAAATTCGTTAAGACACATCTTCCGTCGTGTACTGGGCTAGATAGTTCGAGTGCGGTTTTAACCAATAGTCATTTTTTTCTGCAAATGTTTTTAGTAACTCATACGACCGACTTTCTAAAAGAAATTAAACCTCGGCATTGATCGAACAACTCTTTGTACTCTTTTTGAGCAAACACAAGGTGTTGTTTTATTCTTTATTCACCGACAAACTGACGTTTCGGCGGATTTCAGCTTTCTCAGAGCCTGGAAAGGTCAAGTTGACGGCAATTTACTAAGTCAAGCACTTCCATTACCAAGCAAAGAAAATGCTAAACCAAGATTTCAATCACATTGGATGCAGAATAGCTTTTTTGCAAACTATGGTTATGACAGTGTTTGGTTTAGTAGATTGCAGTCAACTTGACCCTTCCAGGCTTCGAGGAAGGCGAAATCAGCCAAATCTTAGCTTGTTTGTGAGTTAAGAATAAAATAATTGTTTATAGTGTTATAATCGCTGGAACGTTAGGTCAAGAAGAAGTCAATATGTGCGAGCTTGTTTCGAGACTTCTTAGTAAGGACTGCAAAAACTTCATGAGGATTGGTGGGAAAGAAAAGATATTATAGTCCAGTTCTTATTTCCAACACTTCTTTCTTTATGATATGAATTTATCGAAAATTGAACACAAAATGTTGAAATTATTCAGTTTGTGAATATTTGGCTTGATTTTAACAACTAGAAACCATTAGCGAGTTCTGCAGTACTACTTGTTAAGGCAGGAACCATCATGTTTGTGGATTTACGCAGTCGGAAATGTGTTGCTGAGTTAAATGCACCACAAAGTATCCATGAAGTGGAGATTTTGCAAAGCAAAGATAATGCCGAAGTCATTGTAAGTTTTGGTGTAGTCGCAACCTTTTATTATATGACTCCGCTGTTGGTTCGATTTCTTCTTTCACTGGTGTTATTTTTTTTCTATTTTTTTGGAAACAGCGGCGTTACAGATTTACGACCACAACGATGCTGAAATATTGACAAAACTTGAACTCTGAGCCATATCGAACCACGATTACCCTTTCCGGGGTCTCGCGTACTAGACACTTCACCACGGAGGCCTTCGGCTTAACTGGCTTCAATGCCGATTTATGCTCCCCAGATCGATCCCACTGACGGGTAATTGCTGATGGCAGCGTTAGGTAGAAAACTAACTGAGAAAAACGCGAAGCAAGGGCTTCAATGGTGCAATGTGCAATACATGAGCCCCTGGAAAGGGTAATCGTAGTTCGATCTGGCGCTGGGTCCAAATTTTGAGAGTATCTCAGTACCGTTGTGCTTCTATTTCACATCATACCCTGTCGCGAGAAGTTATAGTAGGCAGTAAATGAAAAGGTAACAGTATAGGCTTAGTTTATCGAAACTTTACTATGCTGTCACTTCTAGCTCACGAGCTTCACAGGAGCGCAGTGGATCATTCCACTTGAAAATGGTGATCGCGGTATAACAGAAGTATTGACATCCTGCATACCATCAGAATTTAAAAAGGTATCTTCCTTTTTCTTTTATACTTGTCGAAATTTTGTCTTGATGTGTTTTTGCCAACTTTATTAAGGTTGAACCCGCTTCGTCGCATCTCAGTGGAAACACAGAAGGAGTCGTGTTATTAAACAGCGTAGAAAATTTCGCTGAGCTTTATGATGTTTTTCCATGTGTTGGTGCACCTCCAAAGAAACGTTTTAAGGTCATCTCTTTTCTTTTTCTTGTACTGTATTTTCACCTATGAAGTATTTTTGGTTCAGATTCCTCCAGAAACGTGGATGGTCCACTACACAGATAGTGTCTTATTTACAGTTTCGAAACAAGCAGAAGTGAGGAGTGCGGTGCACTTTGGGGTAATACAGTTGGTCTTCCTAAATTTTATGCTCTTTTCTTTGGTTTCGCAGTGAACTTCGTTGTAGTTGAATGCGGTTCGTTTGGAGTTTTCGATAGTAAAGGGGGCGTGTGGGTGGAGACCGTTAGGTTTTGTGCCACTTTCACTTCGAAGAGCACAGCTTCCATCATGTCTGCTAATTAACGAGCGTGGTCTGGTTCGTATTGCGCAAAGTTTGTCGAGGTGTGTTTTATTTAAATGTTTTATTTCCGTGCAGTAAGTTTTTTTTTGACAGACCAGTAAAACGATAGGGGGGCATGTGACGCAGTGGTCGGAGGCGCCCTGCAACACACACATAGGATCGATCCCAGCGCCCCGGGCCCGCCAACACTCCATCTCGCCGGGGTCGGCAAATTGGTACCAGACTTGTATGAGAGGATAGCCACACTGGCTCGATACATCGGTAGGCCGCTGCGAGTTATTGTAAAGGTTAGATATGCATTCAATCACCTCCAAACAATGCTTAGTGAAGTCGAATGTATGGCATATCTCTCATGGATTGATCAACGCGGAGAGCTTTATCCTTTTTTTTCTTTTAGTAAAGAGGTTATTCCCATGCTAGAACCTTGGTTTCCTTTTTGTCCACGTTTACCATGTTATGTTCCAAAAGAAGTGTAGGGCACGTCACGAAGGGGCGTCATTTTTTTCAAACCTTTTATTGTTTTCAGTGTTTTGGAGAACGTAGCAGCTGAATTTCTTTTCCGGAATCAGAATTTTTCTCTTACTTTGGTCGAACATGTTGCTAAGGCTTGTTCACTGAATACTTCCCAGCTTCAGGTCCATAATTCCTTCCACTATTTACGCATGTTTTCAGCTGTGCAATACACTATTCGAAAAACTTTAGTATTATAAATGCAATCTGCTATGCAAATAGTTTTCGAAAAAAATTACGGTACTTCGTGAGATGGTCATGGTTGTTTCAGCTCAGTATAATTCCAAGCTTGGTTTCGGCTCGATGCGGCAAAAAAATGACACATGACGATCTTTCTCGGATACTTTCTATGGCAAAAACTGTTGGGGTTGGCATTTTCTTTATTTGTTTGTGTCCTACACTGATTTTGATTCAGTACATCTAGAGAGAGCATGTGTGTGGATGTAGTAGTGGGTAATGTTTTAAATCAGTGCCTTGTTATACTATTCCGTCAATGAATCTCTTTCTCCGCGTTACTTCCTTAATGACTTTCTTTTCTTTCAGCTGGAAATCGATGAGCTCGTGAATATTTTCGCAAACCACAAGCAAGAAGAGCAGCTGTTGCCTGAGGTCAGTTCCTAGAGATATCTACTCGGACCATAAGCCATCGTTTTTTTTGTCAGATTTTGCGAATAGTAGAATCTGATGGCAATTCTTCATTACGAAAGAAAGTAGTTGAGCTTTACGTTCGGAGAAGCGAAGTTTCGACATTGTCGAGCGATGGAGCTTGTGTTTCTGAGACTCGATTAGCAATTGACAGTGAACTCAGGTATTTGTGGAATAATTTGGCACATGTCGAACTTGTTCTAATTTCATTTACTGTGACAGTGCCTTTCTGTCTCGACATGTCAATGTGGATAAGGGAGCAAGAATTTGTGCTGAGGCTCAGTTATGGCGAAGTGCAACCTTGCTTGCATTGAGGCAACGGACACACCAAGAAGAGGTCCTCAGAGTCCTCATATGCAACGGTGCGAAAAACTGGTCAACCGCTGTACCATCTGTGAGATCACTGGTAAGATTGAGACAGGAGCGTGTTTTTCCATTGCGAACGTCTATCTTGTTGGAAAATTAATTTAAGAAAAAATAACGAGTTTCAGATGATGACATGTGCTGCCAATCTCGATTGGGCCGAATTGAGAGATGAGGAAGTTGGGGTTCTTGTGTCACTACTATGTGACTGGCAAGCTGCACTGAATTCAATTTCTTATCACGAAAGCTGTCTACGGCTTTCTGTAAAGTACATGTCAACGTAAGTTTCTGTAGATGTATTAGCATTTTCTACATATATATATATATATATATATATATATATATGTATATATGTATACATATATACGCACCACCATAATATGCGTGTATGAGGGCGCAGTGCTTGGAGGAGCCATTGCGACACACACGTGGAATCGATTACCGCCCCCATCGGTCACCAGTCCTTCCATCCATCCAGGGTTGTCAAATTAGTGCCAGACTTCTCTGGGAGGATAGCAGCACTGGCTCGATACATCGATAGGCCACCAAAAGTCATTGTGAAGGCCAGATATGCATTCAATCACCTCCAGACGATCGTTAATGAAGTCAAGTGCATGGCGAATCCTTCAGAGATTGATCAAAGCCGAGAGCTTTATCTTTTTTTAGTTTTATCTCTATGTATATATAAATATGTATATATAGCATATGTATATCCATGTATATGTGATATATTTATGTATATGTGAAAATTGTTGTCAATATTTAATTTTCTGCTTTAAGTACACCGCAGAATCTTGCATTTTAACACACTTGTCTTTCCACTGATTGTCAACCCATGGACTCGATCTGTTGCCAGTAAAATCTTCATTGGCCTCTTACACAAGTTACCAAATATATCCACGATCGATAGACACCGAGTAGCAAATTAGTTTTACTCTAATTTCTTCGTGAAGAACTCTGACCTTCGGGTCGTTGTTATTCGTGTTGAGCGCTCATGATGATCCTTCATAGGACCCGATGACTGACGGCTGTTGTCGAACGGTTTTCCTCAGGAATCTCCAGGTATCCGGCCTATCTAATTGATGTGCGACATCTTGGCGTGTGGGGTAGAGTATCTGACTTCTGGTGTTCTGCGTAGCTCGGGACATCAGATTTCATCATTCAATTTATAATTCTGGTCCAATCCTAACACTACCTTTTCGACTTTATCTCCGACAAATTCTTTCTTTTTTAAAAGGTTGCATTCGTTCTTCTAAAGTGTACAATAAAGCAGGGAACTGTTAGGCGGAAAAAGTAACCTTGAGCTCTTCTATTTCTTCTGTATCTAACATTATGTCTTCGATGTTTTTTTACAAGCTTTCCTAGTCGATTGCATAGCTGACGCATTTGAAAGTATCCCTTCTGTTGAGTGTGTATGTGGCATCATGTATGTGCTTCTCAGTAGTGCCGTTTGCCTTGTGTTTAGCTGAGGGCCAGAGATCTCACGCGTGCTGTCGAAGTCAATGTGCATTTGTTTAATACAGATACTGTTTGATATTGTGTAAGATTATATTTTCAGCAAGTTGAAGGTCTTGTAGCGGATAACGCTGTCGAATCTTGTTCTTGTTATCCTTTTCTGATTATTACATTGGTGTGAGAATGGTGGCGTAGTAGTGCCGAAGAGGTGGATTTATATTGTGGGGCACCTCCCTTTACAACCAAGATGATATGCTTTACGTAGCGATATTCTATTTGTGAAGTTGCATTATATCGAATAAGAATGCCCTCGATGTTTGGATTCGTGACCACTGACCTTTGGCTCAAGTGATTCAGGGGAATTTTCTATGTTAATGAAAGTAAAACAAAGGGGTCTATTTGTACTGTCATGATGCTTTCAACGAGTTTGGTTATCGTGCTGATGCCATGATCCTTGCCCTGAAGCATTTCTTTTGGCTGTGCTTTCTTAAATGGCTTACATTTGATGTCTTTTCAACGCACTTTTTTCCTTTATTGTCCTGTGATATCCTTCGTGATGGTTATTGATCGTATGGAAGACATCTTAGTGTGGTATTTTTCGCCAACATGTGGTTTCTGTTCAATCACTGTTTATAAGCTTCTATAGCGTAAGAATGTTCTAAGGACATAGTAAGTGATTCCATTTCCACTTCTAACGACTGACTACATCATTGTTCATGTGAGATATTCTTGGCATTAGAACTGTGACATACGGCTGGTTTTAATCTCCCAACAGTGTCTCCTAAGTTAAGAAGGAGTTCGACGTTTCCATCTGGAAGCCAGCAAATTAGGCTTATGCCATGCCAGAGTCCAGCGAACTACAAGGTTCTCTACGCCAAATACAGGCGTTAGAACCAAAAGTACAATGTCCTCCTCGCGTCCTTCGAGAAACCCCTGTTGCGCGACGAGAAGAAATGGTGTTTAGTGGTACTCGATCGAATCGGTGCTTCATCGACGAATTCATAGGTGATGGAGGTGCTGCAGGTGCCTCCTCATGCTAGCCACTGAGTAGTCACCTTCTGTAATCGCCCGTCAAATAAAACTCATTTTAGTCCCATATCACGATTCGAGTAATACAGTGTCAGGTTTTGTTGCGCAGAAGAGGTGCAGAAGAGACCTCGCGAAGGCTATTGCACTGCTTTTTGTTCATTTTGGGCGACACCAATATTTCGAATTTTGTTTTGATTTTACACATTAGTGTAATGTTTCGGCACTGTTAGGTTATCATCTCTAAGTCGTCGTGTTTGTGCCTGAAGTCGTTGTCGACTGTTTTCATCTTCTATGTTCTCCATCGCGACGACGCAATCGTTGGAATTACCTTGCAATACACACGTGGTTGTCGGCGCAGTTGGGGCCTTGTGCGAACCAAGTCTTCTATCTCTGTAGCGTCGAAAGATTGCTAGTAGTTTGTCTGGGAGAATTGTAGTACAGAGGTGATACATTAGTAGGCTACCAAAAGTCGTTGTATAGGCTAGATATCCCCTCAGCATCTCCAGCAATGCTTGATGAAGTGAAAAGAGTGACGCATCCCTCAGGGATTGATAAGTACCGTATGCTTCATCCTTAATCCTTTATATCCTATTCTCTATCTCACGGTCATTGTTGGTTTTTTTGGCAGGTAATATTGCGAGCTATTTCTATGACTTTGAGCCCTAGTTAAGTACTGTGCCAAAAGTTGCGTGTATTTACTTGATTTTTCTATTGGAGTGGTTTTAAATAAATAAGATTTGAGGTAAAGGCATTGACAGGAAACGAACACGCGCTGTTGTCCTTGCTGGGGAGCAGCGCACTTCACCACCACACCATCCGGGTCCATCGTTTTGCCTGTCTCTCAGTTAGTTCTATCGATCTGATGGCAAAAGATGTTCTTGTTCGTTCCCCACCGCATACACCTGCGGTCCGGAGTTTTGCAAATATCTCAGCATCGTTGAAGTTATATTTTACAATGAATACCCTGCCGTTAAAAAAAGTAGGCAGTAAATAATAAGTTGAAATTATGGTTTTATTTCACATGATACTCTGCCGTGAAAAATTATAGCAGGCATCACATAAAAGGTTAACAGAGAGAAGATTGTTTAGAAATAAAACGGTTTTTTTCAGCTTCTCTAAACATTGCTCAATTCTTTACCTTATTTCTGCTATGTATATAATCAGTGACAAAACGGCATGGGCACAGGTGAGCCGTAAATGGTTGTATTCTACTGAGCAAACATTTCTCAGCGAACTGTTCCATTCAAGAAAATCGCTAATTGACTTTAGAATTCTGATGCTCCTTGCCGAAGTGTCAGTTGTGGGTCAAATGGATCTACCGCTATTACGATAGATGGTCAATTATTGGTTTGGGGCGATTTTACAAATCAACAAAACAAGACCTTCGAAGCCTCAGGTGCTGGCGTTTGTTTCATATTGAATTTTATTTGTGGGCGTCATGACTTGACCGTAAAAGCGTTCTGTTGTAGACAAGTATTTAAATAGCAACCGAATAGTATTACATGTTGTTTTTAAATACTTTAGCGAATTCTCCGACGCCATCCAGCTTTCATATTTTTTATGCGATGCTCACTAAACTCAATGCACGCAGTCCGAAATGCCTCATAGCCGCATATGGTTGTGTTATTCTTATCACAAACAATCTTCTAAAGGGCGCGTTTGGCGCAGTGGTCAAAGGTGCCCTGCAATATAAGTGGGATCGACTCCACACTCAAGGTTCACGAAGCCTTCCATCCATCCGGGGTCTGCAAATTGGTATCAGCCTTGCCTGGTAGGATAGCAGCACTGACTTGATACGTCGGTAGGCAACCGCGAGTCCGTGTAATGGTGAGATATGCATTCAGCCACCTTCAACGATGTTTAATGGAGTCGAATGCATGGCGCATCCTTCAGGGATTGATCAACACAGAGAACTTTATCCTTTATCCTTTAACAATCTTCTAACTTAGATCACCTGTGTAGTGAACAAGAAATCGTCGCAAAGTACATGTAAACGCACCAAATCGTTTCAAGAACTGTGTGTGTGTGTGTGTGTTTGTGTTTGTGTGTGTGTGTGTATGTGTATGTGTATATGTGTGTGTGTATGTGTGTGTGTGTGTGTGTGTGTGTGTGTGTGTGTGTGTGTGTGTGTGTGTGTGTGTGTGTGGGTGTGTGTGTGTGTGTGTGTGTTTTTGACTGTGGTAGTGATCAGTTTCTTCATTTAGAGAGATAATATTTAGGGTTAATGCTATAACGTCTGAGTCCCTGGATTTTGTTATTAGTTAGTGCATTTCATCAATTATTATGTATTTTTTGGAGTTTTTAAATATAGAACTCTTAGATATCATGGACAAGACAGCAAGGAAGTCAGTGGTGAATAATTCCACCGGTTCAAAACACACTCGTGCTCAGCAGGTGGCTACTATACAAAATTATTTTCTGAAGTTGTTCTTAGTAATCTATTTACTTCAGCGTACATTTTGCGAAATATGTCTTTTCTTCCTTTCTTTCTTTTCTTGTATCTTGTAGTATCTGTTTGTATCTGTTTGTAGGTTTGAAGTTTTCCTCCTGCGCTTTCTTTTGTGATATAAGGACAAAATATCGGGCTGTTCGGAAATTAATTTGTGATTTCACATCCATATCTTTAAACTAGCATATCTGTTCTGAATGAAATTAGTCGAAATAAGAACCATTGCGCCCCACACATTTTCACTAACGGAGAGGGAATGGTTGCATAAAACTCTAGCGTTATGGAGGGAATGAAAGGTGAAGGTAGTTTCGGTCTCGACTTGCTTTCTGAAGCATTTATCGCAAAGGAAGT